GAAATCATTACCAGTTATATAGATCATTTACGAAGTTTTTTTGTACTTGTAGAAGATAATAGTTGAGAAAGATTGAAAGAATTTTTGATTACCTTATCAATGTCTATAATTGTGTTTAGCACTGATCTTGGCTTCAATTTCTCTATCAATTGGTGAATTTAGTTTAATTATACTGTTTATTTCAATATTTTACATCTTCGTTTCTGATATGATTAGAAAAGAAGCACTTTCAACCCATTGTGGTTCATGTCTAACATTACTTTCGTTTATTGTGTGGTTTGTTTGTTTAAGATATGATATTCTTGTATTAGTATCAGTAGTGGATGGCTTCAAGATGTATATCCTGAAGTTCTAGTGAGAAGCCGTTACCAGTGGATTTCAACTGGGTCTGTAGTGAGGTAGTAAATCATTGATGATAATGGTGAAGGTGTCGCTCAATTTCATGGATTAGTTGAAGTTAGACATTAACACCGTTGCATGCCGGCTTATTGGTCTAGTGGTTAAGGGCTCACGCGCGAAACTGATAGGTCCTGGGTCGCGAATGCGCACTACTGAGAAGTCCCATTATAGGACGAAATTACCGTTCAGTGCATTCAGGTTTTCCATAGTTGTGTAGCTTCAATTGACTCATGATCTTAACTACTGAAGTTCTTGTATTAAATTAACCTGAACTATGGTCAGCATAACATGCAAAGTGTAATTTCGCAGTAATTTCATGTGTAACATTTTTTACCGATTGATAATCAAGTGTGCACAAATCAATATATAAGTTAGTGCATTTCTGTATAGAATCATTGTCATGGAAATTTCATTAGTTCCTTATTTCAAGTCCAAGTAACAAGCAATATGGATAAAACATTTGGCGACAGGAAGTTTAGAAAACAGAAAACTATAATAATTTCTAGTAAAAAAACTATCTGATTTTCATTATTACAATTTTATTAAATTTCTGATATTAAAACAAGATGATATTCTAAAAGACTATTGTTCTTCTTTTTAATAAGAATTATATAACAGTTGATCCTATATTTGAGTATTAAATTGTTTAACTACAATAAAACATTCAAGTGAGGTTTGAGTATAACAGAATTTTGTCTATTGACAATAAATAAACCCGACTCACACATCCTCGTCGTGTCTCCTGGATAGTGGGACTCAATCCCATGACCTAACGTGAGCAGTAAACCAGATGGTAGAGATCGGGCTAATCTTATACTCGACTGATACCAAAAAATAATTACGAAACGCACAAAGAATCATAACATAATTACTCCTGAATCGAAAAACGACAAAATAAATGACCTATTTTGATGAAAAGTACGTCAAGACTAATCGATATTCAAACAAATTACTTTTGAATATTGTAGTGATCTAGATTTTATAATTAATAATTCAAAATCTTATAGCTCTATTCAAAAGTAAAGTATTAGATTAATTGTCTGTCAGTAAAATCAATAGTACTTTTGTGGTGTAGGTTACTTATATCCGTACCGTATATAACGCTGGTCAGGCATAGAATGTACTTCAGCGGAAGATCGATAAGGAAAGAACGGGAACGTAAAGTAATTGGTATGAAAATGAAATCTGAGACAATTGACTGATATTTGCAAAATGAACAGTGAAGTTTGAGAAAATGGATTGATATTTTGCAAATTAACTGTTTATTATTTGGTTATCAGATTTTAGTGAGACGCTCTGTAATTTCGTGTCGAATACATTCGTTCATTCCCACTTGTGTTCTTTGTTCACTACAGTGACACTAACTCATATCATGATGAGAACTATTTTGAAGTTGCAACAGAGTCAAAGCAATGTAACTAATCGAGATGATGGATTGATATTTTGCAAATTAACGATTTACTATATGGTTCCCAGATTTTATTAAGATGCTCTGTAATTTCGTTCTGATTTACATTCGATTGTCTCCACTCATGTCCTTGTTCACTACACTTTCATATAGTTATTCAACATGATGATAATTCTCCTCTAAGGCATTATGTTGGTAGAAAGTATGACCTGATAGCGTATATCAGTCTATAATCAACTTTATTTTTAATAAGTTAATATAAAATTAATTTCATTTATCTATCATGATTGATAAAAAAAATTAATTAGAATTATTGATTTATCTTAATTAATAAATCAATACTTACTAATTGGATTTAATTCAATAAAAGTCAATCAATTAACTGCATGTATACTCGTCGATAGTCGTCATGTATATTGATGTGTTATTATGTGTCTTTGTCAAGAATAGAATATATACTATTTGGTTAGTGAAATGTTATAATCTTTCCACCTCCACCACTACCACCCCTATCTTGTATCTATGCATTTATAAATATTAAAAATAACATTTTTTTTTATTGGAGATCATAATTGTTGTTATTATGATTTATGTTGTTTTTAATTACTAATTAAATAAATAATTAATTACCCCTTGTTATTTATTGTTCTTTCCAATCATTTATATTTTTTTCAAAAACAAAATCTGAAACAAAAAATAAAAGGGGAAATATAAAATGATTATTGGAAAAATCAATGTCTAACCATTAGCTAATGCAGCTTTCTATTTTGTTATCAAATATTCATCATCAAGAAATCTAATCTATAAAATTATTTATATAAATAAGAAATTTACCTAAAACAAGGTTCATATTGAGTAGTTGTGGATTCGTTTATGATTAGAGCACTGAAATTCATCGTCAATATTTAAGTGATAATAGATTTTGAGAAGGTATTCAATATCAGCTTGAATGGTCTAATATATCCTTTCAGTGATTGGTAGGTTATCAGTTTGATGTCCTTTGAAATCATAGCTGTCTAATGCTCAGGAGTTGTTTGATATGACGGCACCAATGTCTAGAACGTCCCGATTTTCAATGATTATCTAATTGGGTTCAACAATTGATGTAAACTATGAAAATAGAAAATCTCTATAAATTTTCCCCTAGTAACTATTTTTCTAGTGGATCTAATGTTTTTCCTCGTTTTTGTTATAACTTGTGGCCAGTGTGTCCAGTTAATGTATAACGTCACGATAATGCCCATTACAGAGCAGTGAATTATCGATCGGATCAATGACGCACAAATCCCGTGAGAGCAGTCTAGAGTCCTGATTATTGGTCCTGCTTTCCACCTAGCCCAACCAGTTAAGTTCAGAACACCAATCTCAGCCTCTGTAATATGAATCCTGCATTTCAAACATACTGGGTTTATATACCAGACAGACAGACCATATCGTACGAATAAAATAGGAAACAACATTTATACAATATTTGACCAAATGTGGCTGTGAATGTGGAAGGTAGTAATGAATAGACAGGGCATAATTCAAGAATGTTAAATCGTATAATAATAATAGTTCATAGGTCAAAATACTGCTCATATTAAGAGGGACATGACTATGAATAGTTTAGTTACATAACAATTATACGATAAAAAGTATATGTTTAATATTAATCCATAAATGTATCCCAAAAATTACCATTCATTGTGCTTATCGGGATATAACAGTTCTGTGCAATTTTAGAGCTATGTTACAAAATTTAAACTGGTACAATGAGGAATGCAAAAATGAAAATTATTGGTATTCATGTCCCAAAACTCTATTTTAACTCCCACAATTCACGTCTACAAAATATTATGGTCACCAACTATCATTCCTTTCAAGTGGTATGGTATTAATTCAAGCAGTCTGATTACTTATTTTATTCTAACTAAGGAACAGTTCATTCTCATATTACACCTGAAAAACGAACAAATTGTTTTAGATGAGTTAAAGGTTAATGGATGTGTAAAAAGATTTGTATAACTCACTTTCATCTGGAGCGATTTTCATCTTGCCAACGGTTCTGTTTTTTAACTTTACAGTTTTAGATAAAGTAAAAAGAGTGATGGGTCAAATTCCTCGACATACTTGAAAGTCATAGGTTGATCCCTGTTAGGGTCGTGGATCAATACTGAGAGGGAGTTCTGTATTAAATTAAAATACTTGTTCAGTGCTTCGTGCTTTTCAATAGCTGTCAAACTAAGATCTGTCTGTGACGTAAATATTAAATTTCAATAATGCTTACCAACTACTATAGTTGTCATAATAAGTTGTTTTGTCTTTCATGAACCTTATTTCTGTATTTATTAATAAACACATCGATGCCTCAGTGTTTATATACTGTCACACAAGTATATATATATATAGTCTTTATTAGACTACAAAAGAAGAGTGCATGTACTTCGATATCAGTACCTACTGACATATTTATTCACTTTAGGGAAAAAGACTCAAAATGCTGTACTTCACAAAAATATTTAAAACTAACTTTACATGTAGTCACTGTAAAGATTTCACTTTATTTAAAGATTTTACTTCCATTGATTTATAGATGATAGATGTAGCTTGATGTTTTGAATTTTGCACTTTATATCATTATCATGGATATGTTAGTCATCAGTAAATTTGATTAAATTCAGTATTATTTAGTGATAAACCTATTTTCTAATCGACTTTTTTAAGTTCTATGGTCCTCCTACATGTTTGTAACAAATAATAAGTTTACAGGGTTTCTATCTAAAGCATACTAACTTGACCCAGAGTGTTGATCTCTCATTTTCATCTAAGGGTTCTTTTATATTATGTACATGATTAGACTATTTCTGTTTTCGTTGCGACAAGTTTTAATTGTGAAAAGAACAATTGAATTCAAGAGTTGATCTAAGCTAAACTACCACTGAAAACCTGGAAGCGTTGGACGATCTTTTCGTTGTATTATGGTACTTCTCAACAGTGCGTATTCACGATCTCGAGCACCGGTCTAGTATACATGGACTCGTGAACTCAACTATTAAAATACTACAATGTTTACAAACCCCCATACTAAAAAGAACAATTTTTTTGTAGATATGTAAATCCTTTTTTTCAATTAGCTAAATTAATATCTTAACACAAACCTTTTACCTTACTATTGAATAATTATTTCTCTCCTGTTATTATGTTATTTTAGAACATATACGATTGGTCAATATAAATGCTAAAGGCGCTCATCTTTTCAGTGAAGATGTAAATCAATTGAAGAATCAAATGTCTTATAAAAAAGAAGTTACTCAACAATTTGACAATCTAAGTTTTCTATTAGTAAGTTATTCGTTTTGTTTTGTGACTCAATTGATTTTTCTTTATATATTACCAGTCGAAGACAAATCCTCTAACCGAATAATAACATAATGTAATAGTGTTCTTTTTTAAATAATAAATTCTCAATGAATTCTTTTGTCGATATTGTTCTTGATGTTAGTTGTCAGTTATAAGAAGATCGCCTTTTCCACTAATCATCATATCCAAAATGTTGCTCTTTTTGCTTTTTTTTTCCTATCACACACACAATTCATTCAACATTTAATTTCTTTAAAATGATCACAATAATCCATACAGTTTTCATTTAATATAGTATCCTATAGATTTGTTAATTTACTCTTCAATATATATGTATCGCTTACTTGGGGAACAAACAATAGGGATGACAATAATTGAAGGAAATAAATCTCTTTTCAACAAAAATTCAACTAATGTCAGTTCTTTTACAAAATGAAAAATTTCTATGACAATACAATGTATCTTAAAGTTAGATTTTTAGTGTGTGTTGCTCATTCTAATTTATCAAATAGCTTATTCATAAGCGAAATGAAATGAAAGTAAAGTGTAGACAGTATCTTTCGACCATTTGATTTATTTCTTAATTCTTCTAATAAATCGTATTTTATTGTATACGATATAAAATAATCCGAATGACTGAAAGTTAAGTAATTCCAACACTGTACAGGAAAACTGTCTGAAACTTGACAAGTTTGCTGAATGAACCATTGAAATTATATTCAATTTCGATCGCTTGGATTATTTCAATTATAACTTTTTACAAACAATATCTTCTCTATACACGGTGTCGAATCTTCGTCGAACTATTCGTTTAAATTTTGATGAGTATTCATATCCAAATTGAATAATACTTCATATTAATTTTTATTAATATTTTTTAAAATAAAATAAACATCAGTCTTCCAAAGTTAAACATTCAAAGTAATCTTTTTTCAGAAACGATGGATAGTGGCTAGCAGTGGAGTCCACGACGTGCGTTAGGACTCGTCAGCTGGATGAACCTGCACCCCAGAGTTGATGTTCACCCCAGCTGACGAGTCCCAAATTAGATGAAAGGCACATCAAACTGGAATCCACTGCTAGCCACTATCCGTCTTTGCTTAAAAAAGCTTGTTATTTAAGGCTATATCGAGTCGATCCTCACAAGATGCACATATGCCGACATTAGACAAATTAATTGCAGTCCTAAATAACAATGGGAAGATACAAGTAAAAACAACACCAAGTGAATTCAAAATAATCGTTGTGAGTTGCGCTGACTGAATGTCTGCAACAAAATTTTCATGAATTCACAGTTATGAATCTGACATAGTTTACACTGACTACTGATAATCTGAGAAATTATTAACAAAACAAGAAATTGTTCGTAAGATTGATGTAATTGTAGGGAATGGAGTTAAAATAATGTTCTTAGCAGAAAACTCTACTGATTATTTATAATGTGATAAATTTAGTTTTACAAGAAAAGCTTCTATGATTTACCTTATACATAATGTTATTGCCTAGTTTATTAAAGTAACTAAAACAAATTAGAATAGATTGAATTATTCATCATTCAAAAATAAACACATTCTGAAAATGATTTGAAAGCAACATAGTAGGAAAGATAATGATCTTACAGATTATTAAAGATTAGATATGACAAATTAATTGATGTCTATCATTTCAAAACATTAACCATTATATTTATAATGAATGTTAAGACTGGAAAGTTTAAGTTCATCTTATGATATAGTTTTGTTGCAGTCATAGTTTCAGATATAGTAAACATGAAAAGAACTTTTTGACACAAATTTCTAATGTAAAATAACTAATAGGAACACAAAACTTGTTATTCATTCAATACTAATATGTATAGTGAGTAATATTATTTCAAAGTTATTCTTTCTTTCTAAAAAAAAAATCATTCGCTCAATTTCGCCGATTAGTTGAAGTTAGACAATAACACCGTTGGATGCCAACCAGTTCAGTGTTCTATTGGTTAAGTGCTTGCGCGCGAAAGCAATAGGTCCTGATTTCGAATCTCGCAAGGGACGAGGTCGTGGATGCACACTGCTGAAGAGTCCCACAATAGGACGAAATGGCCGTCCAGTGCTTCCAGGTTTTCCATGTTAGTCTAGCTTCAACTGACTCATAATCTTCACCATTGAAATTATTAAAAAAAGAAATGAATAAAAGATCAGTAATATACAAAAAAGAATAACAGCATTTACTTTTCGAATAACAAATCAAATCTTATATGTATATATATATATATATATATATAGTTTTATTTATAATCAGTTATTTCAATTGGAGTCACATGAAAAAGGGAATAAATTAGTTTCGTGTTTAAAATTAAATAGAAAACCCCAGAAAAAGAACAAAAAGAACTTATGTATATATATATACTATGAAGTGTCGTTTTTACATATAAGAGGAAATTTCTGACTAACATTTATATAAACCATTACATACAAATCTAGTCGGTAATGTGGGCAAAGATATATCTGTTTTGAAACAAAACAATATGTCTATAATCAATTTTATTTAAATAAAATGTTTTCTTATATTTTATCATGTTACTTGGTAACGATTTCCTTTGAAAGAGCGTGGTTTAAGTGTTAATGTATGACATATATATACACACACGCACACGAACATACACATCGTCTAACAAACAAACATACATAAATATACTGATTAGCTGACAAATTATTACTTGTAAATCAATAAATCACTGATAATACTTAATTATTATAGGCGTGTCATTTCGTTCATTACCGGAGTATATATATTTATAGGTGTAGCCCTTTCATAGAAAGAAGTATGCACTGAAAAATGTAGTTGAAAACTAAACAATTATGTAATTTAAAACATTCTATTAATGTTAACATAACCTTAGACAGTAATTTTCACCATTTGATTAAGTATTAAAAAATTAGAATAAACAAAACCCTAACTTCTCTTGCGCTTGAAATACTATGAGATGTAGTTTGCTGAAATAAGAGATGTTTTAGAGGATGTTTTGAAGATTTATTGTAAACAAAGATGTTAATACCCACTAATTTGTTCTTTAATTGAAAAAGTTTCTAGTTTCGAATAGTTCTATAGCGTAATTAATAGATAATAAAGAAATATTCCTATGTAAAATAGTACAAACAGCCTTTTAAAAATATTATCCAGTTACGTTTCTTATTGGTACATTGTAAGCTTAGATGGATTGTAGCTAACAGTGGTATACAAAACGCTCGTTTCTTCTTACTTTGAACTCGTCAACTTGATGTAATTGCATCACGCAATTGATGTTTGCTCCATGATTCGAACTCGATACCGTCCAGTCCAAAATCCACCGCGTTATCCACTTAAATCTTGGGTATTTGGACTCAATAACCAAGTGGATAATTGATGGGATTTGAAGCGGACCGTACAGGATTGGAGTCCCGGAGCGAACATCAACTGTGTGACGCAAGTACATCAAGCCGATGAGCATCAAGTAGGACAAAACGCACTCCTTGAATTCCACTGTTAGCCACTGTCTATCCTTGCCTATAATACTTGTGATTTCAGGCAATGTCAAGGCAACCCACTCAAGAAGAACACATGTCAATATGAGACTGATCAATCGGAGTCCTAAAAATCAATAAGAAGATTCAAACAGCCAATACAAAAAGTGAATTATTAGTATTTTATTTGAAAATCTAAAAAATAACACAAACTTACACAACTTATAGTATTCATCGTACATTATATGAATCATTGTACTCTGTAAGAAACTGGTTACAGCGTAGCATGTTAAATTTATTGAAATTGTTATGATACGAAAAATAAATTTTAATCAGAATGTTTTTTACAAGAATCTTGAATAATAAATAAATTTATCTGATCTTTGGGCGAATTCACTTGGTATTGTTTACTTAAATCTTCCGATTGATGTTTAGCATTGTAATTGATCAGTCTTTTATTAGCATATATGCATACTGTATGTATTGCTTCGATATTGACTATTTTATTTAGACATGTTACCTGGAGTAGAACACTTTCGAGAATATGCAAACTATATTTCTAACTTCTTGTTTATTTCCGTTTATACTGAAGAAACTAATTACTAGGGCAAGGGTAAGTGAATACTTCGGCTTTTTACTCTAAAAACCATTACATGGAGAAACTGAACAGAAATATAGATACAATAATTTAGTTCACTTAACTAGGTTGCAAATTCATTTGTTTTAAAACAAAACAAAACTACCAAAAGGATGGTAACTGAACTATTTAGAATGTACTTTTTGTTAGGGGTAAAAAAGACTTTTGCATTTTAATCATTCTTAGCAATTAATACATTGCTTTTCAGCTAACGTCAAATGAACATCTAAAACTAGATATTAACTAATGTGGTTCTCAATGAAATCATAAATCGATCAATGTTAGAACACCATTGAACACCTGGAAGCACTGAATGGTTGTTTCGTCCTGGAATGAAATTCGTCAGCAGTGCGCATTTACTATCCCACACACAGGACTCAAACACGGGACCTTTTATCTCATGTGAACACTCAACCGATAGATCGTGGGTACGTAATGTTGAAGAGTTCCATTATAGAACGAAATAACGGTCCAGTGCCTCCAGGTTTTCTACGGTGATCTAACATTGATCGATTCATGGTTTCAAAAATATTCGACCATCTCCACAAACCCATACTGAAAATATGATTTTATTCAAATTATTTAACAGAATTTCGTTATCACGATAGCATTCTCTTTATATTCTTATTCATTTTAAGTTTATTAAAAGAACAATCAGATATAACTATTCACAATGTCATGTCTAAATTTCAACTACTTATAGTTCTGCTTTAATTATATGTCATCAAATGTTCACAACTTACAATATGACATTAGATCTAAAATTCTTTGAAATTTTTATTATTCATTGTGGGAAGTTAAATTATAATAAACTGACTGATCAGCTGACTTTTTTTATTAAAATATATATTTGACAAGGC